GAACTTCTAATCTAGAAGTGTTCCTTGTTAAAGCATTGCTTAATAATTTTGAATCATGAGCTGAACCTTCCCATCCACTAAGAACATACATGAATATTTTGCCACTCCTAATCAAAAGTAACTGAAGAAGACAAAAAGTTGTGGTTCACCGTCCACATCACGAAATCTAAGTAATACGGATACAAATCTTTTTTCATGTCTTCATCCTTCAAAATTCAAATCGACTAAATTTTAACTCACTAAAAATTTGGATAGTAATTAACATCCTCTATGAGAGGTAGGAGTGCACTGCCGTGGTGAAAACCCAAGTACTTGTGCAAACTCGTATGGAACATGAAATGAATTAAAATCAAGATGCATGAAGTTGGTGCAGTGAGTTTGAGAATTCGGGCTTGGAAGAAGCACAATGCTTGAATCCATTGCTATTATGAACAATGATGATAACAAAGAAGAAGAAGAAACCATGTCTTCGAGGTCAAGATTATCATGAAAAATGGTTGATTTTGCGTTGACTAAGCTTTTCTCAGAGAGAGTTTTGTTCGCATGATATATGTATAAATTCTATAGTTGAAATAATGAAAACTACTTAAAATGTGATTAATTAATAATTAGAAACAATCACAAGTCCCAAGGCGATCGTTGCAAAAGCCTCCATTGGGACATGCAAAGGAACAGTCGACATCCCTCTTGCAAGGTGGACGTTCCTGCTGCACTGTTCTGCTGGTGCCACTTCCGGCGATAACTTCGACTCCGCTTAGCTCTCTTGCTTCTGTTCCAAGATCTTCTCATCCATCATTGACAAACACAATTAGTTTATTCCAGCAATATTTCATTATGTAGTGAATTTTTTTTTATAAAAAAGAAAAAGAAAAATCAAGATCCAGATTTCTGTTGGTTTGGACTAAATAGAATTGGGGCAATATTCACTAGCCATTACGATCTTCTTTTTTTTTTTTTTCCTTTGCATTCTCTACTATATTGAAAGTTTTTAACTGCATAAGTATATATTTAAAATATGTTAAAAAATTTTTTAAAAATGCTTAGATAATAATTATTAAGATTTAAAATTGAAATAATTTCTTCTTGTATATATGTATTAAGTTTTGTTAGTTTCTTAATCTAAACTAAATTAAAATATTGTTAATTTATCAAAACTTTTATTTATATAAAATACTTACTAGATGTGATGACCAAAATGAAGATCAAGAGTGAAATCTTGAGAGAAACGTTCTTCATTTTTCAACTTTTGTTTGGAGTTTTTAACTATATATCAGTGTGAAAAAGCCTCGTGAACCATATATACATATATTTATAATTTGATCAAAGATTTGGAGAATTAATTCATTACAAAAATTTAGAGGTAAACAATGAATAATTAAGATTCCTTTCTAAAAATATGGAGTCTAGAAAAAATCAGATAAAATCAAATACTATTTAGTCAATACTGTATTGTCGATATTCAAACTATCATATTTTGTGTGTTTGTTTATTTCTATTTTCAACCCAAAAGAGTAAACAAATAATTAATTCAGTTACACACGATTGGCGTTAGAGGTGGGACGGATCTGGATATCCTAAAATTTCAGGATATTCGGATCCGAATCCGTGGTAAAAATATATGGATCCGTGGTAAAAATATACGGATCCGGATTTGTGATTTCCGGATATTAGATATCCGACCAAAAATTAGGATATCGGGATCCGAAATTAATATTAAAAATAATCAATAAATAAATAAAAAATAATATTTCAAAAATTATTAGTTAGGAATTTTGGATTAGATATTTTCATAATAAATATAATATATTAAAAAAAAACTAAAATCAACATATCCCCTTCTTATTAAAAGAGAAGTACAATTAGTTAGAATGATTATTTGTTTTACTCTTATTGGCTCAAAACCATGACTTGTCATGGAAAAATTATGACATGTCTATAGAAAAAGATGACATGGCTTAATCTCTAATTACTCTTTTAACACAATTTTTATCAT